ATAGCTGGCCAATCACAGCTCACCTCGCTTTTTCAGACCGATGAGTTTTGTAAAAATCGACGCGTTTCAGAAAGGCGGGGCATAGAGGAGAAACAATAATGTACAGTATGTGGAAAATAATGTGTTTTTTTAACCTTAAACCGCATAAACACATTTCATTACACCAAATACACAAAATAATGTTCTTTTTAGCAGCATCGTATGACCCCTTTAAAGCATTGCTGGTGGTTATGACAAGTAATCAATTTCTGTTACTGGATATTCATGCAATATTCATAACATAAGTACTCAACTAAAGACGTCTGTATGTATACAGACTTGTAAGCTGCCCGCATGCAACTAAAGAAAACACAAAAAGCCTCTTCCCGTGACCTCTTCCAGCTGTAACACTGGCTTTCAATTCCCAGGCCTAATAAAAACCACATGACACTTGAATACCTCTCAATGGTTCAAAACGCGTGTGCGTGCACGCAAAGCACATAATATGCGCTCAATGCAAGATCATTTTGACAGCTGGATTCAGCCTGGCGTCAGCACACTAATGACGTCACTCCGATGCAACGCAACACGCCAAAATGACGTCACGCAACACGGCAAATGCTAACATTGTGTGCTATAAACACTAAATAACGACAGTTATACGCTTTAAACGTTGAATGATGAATAATGCTGCCAGTTATAGTAAGAAACCGTCTAATAGAGGCTGAGTAAGCAAATATCCTTTGAATTCGCAGTTAGTTCCGGACGTCGTTAGCCGTTCAGGCTAACGTTAGACAAAGCTACTCACACTGACGCTTTGTGACTATACAAACACTGACATCTGCAACACAAGTCTGGGCGACAAATACTCACTATTCCGGATTCATGGTGTGTTTGTGTCGTTGTCGTTGGGTTCAGCAAGCGATCGGAGTCTTTTCTCTGGGAGCAGAGGCGATGGTGAAGAGGATGACTTTCTCTGATTTTCGCTGCGTTCTCTGATTTACCGCCTCCGATCACACCTCAGTACTGTCTTCTCGTTGGATTCAGTCACTTGACGGACATTACTGACCATATAACGCAAAACACTGTTATTTTGTTCTGCTTTTCTTCCTGTCTTCCGATCTGCCCCTCGCTCGAAGTACAAGATGGCTGCGCAGGTGCGGCAGTGACATCAGATGACGTGGCATTACGGACTGATCTCACAGATACAACCCAGAGATTCAAGACCCTCCACTAATCAAATAAGCTTATGAACTATACATACATATATATATATACCCCCCACGTCATTGTACTGTAGTGTTTGTAGCATGAGAATCATATTAGAAAATCCAAGCAAGACAATACTTTTTGTAAGTAACAAAAAAAAATGTATATATATATATATATATATATATATACTGTAATAATAAGAGTATTAGCTTGCAAAATTCCAAAGAAATATCTCAATTTTCTCATTTCAAAATCATTTAAAAATGTGTTATTTACTTTTTTTTCCACCCTATTCAACTGTAGTGTCTGTTGTCCCCTCCAGAAGAAAATTAATTTCTTGTACAATAAAAATCACGCTGTGCTTTGAGGTCAATGAAAATTTCCTGAGCTGTTTAGTAACAAGTGACAATTTAAAAGCAATTCATTCATATTTTTAAATGGTGATGTCTGGCATTTTCCAAACCTCCCAACATTTGATTTCTTTGATATACAATTTTACAAAATTTACAGTGTAGAAAAAAGTAGAAAAATAAAGATATGAATCACAAAGAATGAAAAGTTCTCTCTTATACTTCTAGCAATGAAAACACTGTATATGCAACATTTTCTATAGTGTAATTTTTTGTCATTTGTTTGAACCGAAATCTCATCATAATACTTAAAAAAAAATCTACTATTAAAGGCCTAGTGCAGACTACATTCTCACATAAAATTTTAATGCACAGCACAGCCCTCCCTCCTCATCCTTTTCCTTCTCTTCCCTCACAGGTCTAGAATAGGACACAAAGCCACCAGCAGGTTTAGGCAGGTATATGTTGTTCACAACATCTTCTCCACCTCAGGCTCCAGGGTCTCTGTGCTGTCCTGGTGATCGCTGGCTGCCTCCAGACCCAGGTTGATTTAGTGGACCTCGTTGCTGGCCTCCAGGGGTGGAAGCTCATACAGAAGTGCTTTGAGGCTCTGGCCCAGCTCTCCAAAACCTGGCCTCTGAGAGGGATTTCTGTGCCAGCAGCTCAACATAAGCTCATATCTGACGGAGGAAGAGTCAAAGGAAAATGGAGAAGGAGAGCAACAAAAAGGACTCCAAGATTGAATCATCTTCCAGATCTTCAGTTAAAAAAACCCTCTTGCCATATATGCTTCTTGACCATGCACAAAACATTATTACATTCTACAATTTAATAATCAGCTGCATATGCACATTACTGCTATGACTCATGTGGATTTATTAGAACAGACCCTAACTATTCTTGCTACTAGGCCTGATTAGTCTCGCAACAGACAGTTTTTGGTAAAGGCTTAGTCACAGATTCCTGATAAACCGAATTGTCTACTAATAATATTTCAATTTTGAAATATTATAAAATATTAAAAATGCCTTTTGTGATAATTTGATAAAAAATATATGCTTACAATTTGCTGTCATTGTCCCCTTGTTTGAGACGGTGTCCATTTTCCAGGAAGTCCAGAAGCTCATGACCAGAGATACCTGGATAAGGTATCTTCCCTCTGGATGTGATCTCCCACATGGTTATTCCAAAAGACCACTGTGAGACATGAGGAATAAATCAAATTGATTTAAGTTTGTTGGTGGGTAAATCTCATAAAAAACATATCCGGGTCATATTTTTCCCACAGACAAAAACAAAAAATGTATTTCATACATTAAAAAAAACTATTTTTAGGACCATTTCCACCCAAACAGTTTGTGTTTTACTGAATGTTTGAGTTTTTTTTTTTTTTACCTCTTATTATTCTCATTGATGATTCTAATTAGATTCTTATAAAGGAATAGTTCAACCCAAAAAAATGAAAATTTGCTAAAAGAACATACCCTCATGTCATTCAAAATGTAGATGAGTTTGTTTCTCTATCAGATCAGATTTGAAGAAATTTATCATTGCATCACTTGCTACCAGTGGATCCTCGGCAGTGAATGAGTGCCATCAGAATGAGCATCCAAACAGTTAATAAATACATCACAATAGTCCACAAGTAAACTATACAACTCCAGTCCATCAATTAAAGTCTTGTGAAGTGAAAAACTGAAAAACTTGTTGTGTTGATTACTATGATGTTTTTATCAGCTGGTTGGACTCTCATTCTGACAGCACCCATTACTGCAGAAGACGCATTGGTGAGCAAGTAAAATTTCAGCAAATGTTAATTTTTTATTTATTTTGTTTTTATTATTATTTACTTTGCAGTAAGGTTATGAAAATCGGGGCCAGAAATGTGCTCAATGTTCTATGCGCAAAAATTGTTTTTCTTCTGATTTGACAGGTGTTGGGAGTTTCACCAGTGTATTTGTAATCATGCAAATTGAACCTATGAAAAAAACTCATTTGTACATTAAACGCAAAAAACAATTATACATTTTACAACAATTCTCTGAATTACTGTTGACAAGTACTGTATACATACTGTATTAGAAGCATAAATTGGACTGACCACATCACTCTTGGTGGTATATAAGAAGTCAGACAGACTCTCTATGGCCATCCACCTTACAGGCATGTTAACATCCATATTCTTCTGCCTATAGTAGTTACTGGAATAGATCTTCTTAGACACGCCAAAGTCAGCCACACAGACACGTAGATCATCCCCCAACCTGTGAAAGCCAACCTGTGCAGCACTGGGTAGGTATGGGGGGGGACATTTTGCTCATCATTAGGCGTGGCTTCTTCTCAAGACAATGCAAGTATTAACAGGACATTGTTGTGGAATGTGCTATTTGTTGCCCTCCTGTGGGCTCACATGCAATTGCGGGCAGCCAGGTCCCTGTGTAAGAAACCCTGAAGGCTGAGATACTCCATTCCTGCAGCAGTGTCAATCATGAAACGCAGAAGACTCTGATAAGGCACAAACTGGAGAGAAGAGACCAGTTTAAATCAGATATAATCAGATATGTGGTTATTTTTTCTTTAACCCTTAAAACGTTATATAAAAAACGAGAGTAAAAAGAAGGAAAAGTCAGGAAGGTGTTGCAAATTAGTGAGACCGACCATGGGAACATCACCTTAGCGGGTCGCTTTGAGGAAGCTGTGTAGATCTCCATGTTTCATGAATGGAAGAATAACAAGCGGTACATGGATGGAGGACTCTGGATCCCGCTCTAGTGCGACCCCTGGTGGACATAAATAACCTTATATCAGGGGTCTCCAAACTCTGTCCTTCAGAGTTTAGCTCCAAATTGCCTCAACAACACACCTGCCTGGAAGTTTTAAGTATACCTAGTAAGACCTTGATTAGCTGGTTCAGGTGTGTTTGATTAGGGTTGGAGCTAAACTCTGCAGGACACCTGCCCTGTGTAACCCCTCTCCCCCGGGTCCTCACCGCCACACCTAGACTGCAGCCACTAGCGTCAGTCGCCAGTGCGTCTCTTGAGATCAGGGGAGTGAGGTTTACCTGCACAGCACCTACCACTGGCCTCCGTTACACTCACCCCTCTAAACCTCACTCCCATCCAGGTCACGGCACCAATGTAACCTCTCTCCCCCGGGTCCTCACCGCCACACCTCGTTCTCGTTCCAAGTGGGTCTCGAACCCGGGTCTCCGGCATGGGAGGCGGGCGCAGGCTAAAAACTGAGACCACTGGCCTCCGTTACACCTGCAGGATTGAGTTTGGTGACCCCTGCCTTATCGTCTGTCAGCAGTATTTATCCATGATGGTCAATTAAATTATAATACTGCCTTATCCACCTTATCTTGCAACGCGGAAGGTAAATGATTCATTAGGTAAATGACTAAAAGAATAACATAGTGCAGTAAACGGAAAAACTATTTGCATAAACCCGATGACTGCTGAACATCATAATATTGGGAAGATGCCAATTACATTATTACACATTACAGTTGCTATGATCCATTTAATTATTACAATGGAACAGACCCCCCTTAATATGCAGCTACAGGCATCACCAGGGGAACTTGTGGAAGTTCACACTTTGCAGTTGGACAGGCCTATACAGGCCACAGATGACCGGTTGCCATGGAAACGTCTGTGCCCTTTGAAATCAGGTTATTCAAAATATTCCACTTCAACTTGATATAAATTATACATTTTAGCCTAGATTTCAAACATGAAATAATAATTTCATTCAGGAGAGACATACCAAGCAATTTAACTACATTCACATGATCAAAATGCTTCATAATTTCTGCCTCTTTGAGGAAGGACTCCAGATCTTCTTTACTGTGGACTGCACCTACAATTCAACAGGAAATTTAATGGCATTACAGCAAGCGGTTGATTTAATTAACTGTAAATTGCATTGTCTCAAGCTAGTACTTAATTCTAAATTAAGATCATACTTTTTAACTTATCAGAATCTTATATTTTACTGTCACTTGCTCTCTGCATTATATACACTATATAGCTTTAAATGTTTTTACTGCCACTCTGATGTCTTGTCCTATTTGAGGGGAAAATATGCCCTCGTAGACGACCCCAAATTCTCCTGCAGATGGAGAAATTCCAGATTACAGTATAAGAATCCATTTGCAGAATGCAAAATGACAATCAAAATACTGTTTTCAGTCAAATTATTCCTTATTAAATTATATCTTTTTAAAATTTAATATAATATAATATAATTATAATATAATTAATAATATGGTCTTAATATAATTTTAAAACAGCTATTAAATGATCACTTCATATATGGGTAACATATGCATAACATTTCCAAATACCAATTTAGGTTATGCATGTTTATATTCATATACATCTATATAAAATTTCCTATTTATTACAAAACAATTTATATTAAGTACACAATTTTGTCTAAAAATTATTTGAATGTACTGTGTATGGGAAAGTGTACACTACCAATCAAAAGTTTGGATCGGTATAATCTTTTTTTTTTTAAGTTTTCTATTTGAATATGTTATAATTTTATGGAATATATTTTACATTTTATATTGTTTTAAAATTTTATATTTTAAATGAGATTTTTTAAAAACATTTTA